TCCACTATTTGGGCACATGGACCCTTCGGGATGAATTTCCAGTCCGCGAACTTGGATTTCAGGTGGAGCCCCTATCTTGCTTGCCCCCCCTTCTCCTTCGAGCTAGGGGTTTAGGGTTTAAGGTTTACCCTAACCTACCAAAACCTACTTTTTTGTAGGGTCCCTATAAAGTCCATCTTAGGGTTTATAATAAGAGCTTACAAATAAAGGTAGGTTATGGTAGCTTAAGGTAGGGTTTAGGGCTTTTGAGTTGTCTAGATGGTCAAGATATCGAGGCTCAAGTTTTGGGGAGTTAGTGGTCCTTCACCGGTTTAGGGTTTAGGGTTTAGGGTTTAGTGCTGCCGCAGGGATCCTTCTGTTATTCAGGATCAGCACTTGGGGGTCTAATTGTCATACCCCAGACCTACATCCCTAAAGCCCGGAACCCTAAAAGCTTATATAAACCCGATGATACGCCCTGAAACCTGAAGCACGCAATTCCAAAACCCTTACAACCCCAGGCCCTGACCCTGATCCTCCCAGAGACTCCAAAACAAAACCACCTACCTTAAGGAACATATCATGTACCCATAGGCCCCTAAGTAGTTAGTTCCTTTATTATGGTTTGTATTTAGAATCTATATAAGGTAGTCAGATAATAGGAACCCTGGCAAGAATTAAGGAAGCCAATAACCTTGGTTCAGCATATAATAGGAACTCTGATAAGAATTAAGGAAGCCAGCAGCCCCTTATTCAGCTTTTTAGTATTAAAAGGGAAACAAAAACCCCGTATTTAGCCTATAATCGGAACGCTGATAAGAATTACGGAAACCCTAAACCCTAAAACCTAAACCCTAAAGCCCCTAAAACCCTAAAGCCCCTAAAACCCCTAAAACCCTAAAACCCCTAAAACCCTAAAACCCCTAAAACCCTAAAGCCCCTAAAACCCTAAAGCCCCTAAAGCCCCTTAAAGCCCCTAAAGCCCCTAAACCTCGAGTCTCTGCACTTCCCAAGGCGTTGGGCCTGAGCCTCGTCTTTTGGATCTGGCACCGGGGGCTTTTTGCTGCGTGAGCAAAAGCCCCAAACCGAACCAAGACCCTTTAGGGTTTAGGCAAGTTTAGGCTTGAGGCGCTTGGAGTTTAGGGGTTTAGGGTTTAGGGTTTAAGGCGTCTAGGGTTTAGGGGTTTAGGGTGTCGGCGTCTGGCATTTAGGCTTTAGGCGTTTAGTTTAGGGGTTTAGGCTTTAGGCTTTAGGCTTTATAGGCGTTTAGGGTTTAGGGGTTCAGGGTTTAGGCGTTTAGGGGTTTGGGGTCTAGGCATTCAGGGCTTTATGGACCAAGCGGTGCTTTGCCTGAAGTACGCTACTAAGTTGAGTGGCAGAGACACTCATGACCTAAACTTTTGGTTTTTCATGATATTCGATGGCGTCAGTGAGCTTTCCTTCTTTTGAGCTTAGGGGTGGAGGTTTAGCAAAGCTACCGCTGGAGCCACTCCTTCAGAAAGGCATGATGGCTTGCCTGGTCGTTCTGCGGTTCAGGGTTCATTTGATGGAATCAGGGGTCGGTTTCCAGGCGTGCGTGTGTTCATGAATTGAGTAACACTCCTCGGTCAACCCACCCTCCGTGCGTAGCTACAGAGTGTCTCGCAGCTGAAGCCACGGAGAGCAATGCCGTGTCTTCCTCTGCATGGGTTCCTGCTTGGTCCTTTGCCGTTGTCGGCTGCAGATTGATAGAGTTAAATGGATGAAGAGGCATGTGCGGCAGTGTGTGCTAAACCCTCGCCGACAGATTGATAGAGGCACCCACAGAATAGTTTCGACTTCGTGCTACACACTGTTTTGGCGTGCAAACTCGTTGCTTTGCTGTTGGGATGCTGGTGCCGCTGTTGGCTCCCTACAGTAAACCCTAAGGGTCCATGTACCCACGTAGTATATACGTTGGCCCCAAAGTACCTATATAGGGACTACTTCAAGGCCAAAGTATATCATTTTTTGGGCACATGGAACCTCAGGGAAACCCTCGAGCTGACACAACATGATGCTCTGGACCGGCATCCCTAAACCCTAAACCCTAAAACCATAAAACCCAAACCCGAAGGTTTTTACTGGGCTTGCTTCAGTTTCTTTCCGGGATTCCTAGCAGCTGGGGCTCCCATGAATGCTCCGGTTGGGTTTAGGGTTTAGGGTAGGGTTTAGGGTCTGGGGTTTAGGTTTTATGGTTTAGGGTTTAGGGGCTTAGGGGAGCCCGAAGGGTCCATGCACCCAAACAGTAGATACATGCCCCCCCCCTCCCCCCAAAGAACCTATAATATAGGGGCTTAATTGAGGCCAAAGGATATACTATGCGGGTACATGGACCCTGAGGGATAGCTTTATGGAGACTCTGCCCCTAGACCCCTTGGCCATAAACTCCTGGAGCCTAAACCCCTAAACTCCAAACCCTAAAACCCTAAACCCTCAAGCTGAAGGGTTAACATGGGCGGCAGCTCCTCGTGATCTTTCTTAATGCTTGTCGCGGGTGCGTGGGAGGTTTGATATATTTATTTCTCCATGAATTAAGCCCGAGGCTTATGTCCTACATAGACCGTGGGACCTTGAGGACAGCTTCAGCATTGGAGATTTGGTATCGAGGCATGGGAGTTTCATAGCAGACAATCGTGGACCCTACAGAATCCCTAAATCCTAGGATCCTTCTT